ACTAGCTGTTGGTAATTCAAGGTATATTATTTCATATTTCCTTCCCAACTCTTAATGATTGTGAATATATTAAAGTGTCTCAATCAATATTTATAATCTGTTGTTTTTATTCTCCCATTATTTAATATAAACTACTCCTTATACTTGTCACTTTTAAAGATTATATGATTCTCTGGGACGCCTGGGTGGCTCAGCGGTTGGACATCTGCCTTCAGCTCAGGGCGTGATTCCGGGATCAGGGATCAAGTCCAACATCAGGCTCCCTGCATGGAGCCTGCTTCTCCCTCTGCCTGTGTCTCTGCCTCCCTCTCTATAAGTCTCTCATGAATAAATAAATAACATTTTAAAAAACTAAATAAAAAAAATTAAATTAAAACAAGATTACAAGATTTTCTATTGTATTACTAACCAAGAAGGATTAAACAATCCTATTGTCTACAAAGTGTCTCCTATATACACAAAACATGGAGGATGAGATGAATAAGGTATCATTCCTGCGTTCTGCAGGAGATAACAGGATATATGTCCAGAGTAGTGGTGAAAAAGAATGCAGAATAAGAAACAAAAGGAGTGGTCAGTTCTACCCTGAAGAGAGAAAACCATCAGGGAAAAATAGAGCTGGTAATTCTATAATACATATTAAGAGAAGGTAATTAAGAAGGAGTACATTAAGAAGGCATTTCACTCAAGATTCATTGGACAAATTAGCACCTGTTAGGTTGAACACTAATTCGTCCTACAGTTACACAATTCTAAGCTTCAGAGGCCAACTAAATTTAGCACGAAGAAAACAATCAAGAATAAAAGGTTGTGACCTTGGGTTAGGCAAGCAATGGTTTCTTAGATATGATGAAAGCACGAGAGGCAAAAAGAACAAAAAATAAACTGGACTACATCAAAATGAAAAGCTTTTGTGCTGTAAAGAACAGCACCTTTAAGAAAGTAAAGATCCAGAGAATGGAGAAAATATTTGAATATCATATATCTGACATGGGGCTTATATCCAGAATACATAATCTTTTTTTTTTTTAATGTAATCTCTATGCCCAATGTGGGGCTCAAACTCATGACACTAAGATCAAGAGCTTCAGGTTCTACTGACTGAGCCACCCAGGAGCCCCAACTTGTAGACTTCAAATGACTGAATCGTGAGCTATGTGAATTATATCTCACTAAAGCTGTTCTTTAAAAGAAAAGAACAGGAACACCTGGGTGGCTCAGTGGTTGAGCATCTGCCTTTGGCTCAGGTCAGGATCCCAGAGTCCTGGGATCGAGTTCTGCATCAGGCTCCCTAAAGGGAGCCTGCTTCTCCCTCTGTCTATGTCTCTGCTTGTGTCTCTCATGAATAAATACTTAAAAAAACAAAAACAAAAAGAAAATAAAAGCTGGATACCAAATTAGAGTAGGTACAATCATGCATTCAGCTGTACAGCTGCTGAAACTAAAATCATCTAAGCTATCAACTTCATTTCTATACTGTGACTCACTGACTAAAGTATTTAGTAACTTTAAAATCTATTCTCAAAAACTGTAAATTATAACTCTTACATACATGTAGACAGTTTTCTGTTTCTTTTTTTTTTTTAATTTTTATTTATTTATGATAGTCACAGAGAGAGAAAGAGAGAGAGGCAGAGACATAGGCAGAGGGAGAAGCAGGCTCCATGCACCGGGAGCCCGATGTGGGATTCGATCCCGGGTCTCCAGGATCGCGCCCTGGGCCAAAGGCAGGCGCCAAACCACTGCGCCACCCAGGGATCCCCAGTTTTCTGTTTCTGATGAAAAACAGAAAGAATAAAAGTGAGCAAATGAAACTGCTGATTGTCTTGAATATTATCTCAAAAATATTTTGTTGTGGGCAGCCCGGGTGGCTCAGGGGTTTAGCGCCGCCTTCAGCCCAGGGCCTGATTCTGGAGACCCAGGATCGAGTCCCACATCAGGCTCCCTACATGGAGCCTGCTTCTCCCTCTCTCTCTCTCTGTCTCAAACAAATAAATAAAATCTTTAAAAAAAATATTTTGTTGTAAATTTTAATTGTGAAAATGGGAAGAACACTCAATGCTGCCCTTTTCATGGAGGACAAAATAGATTACAGGATAGCAACTTTCTTCTAACTATAGGACAAAATTGTTAAATATCATCTTAAATAAATGATCATTCCATATAATTATTCATGAAAAGAATGAGGCATTTTAACATTAGGAAACTTTCAGAAAGGGGTAAAATATGATTATTTTTCAAATAAGATACTTGCTGTGAGAACCACTACTTGGTCTATTAAAAAAAATTATTGTAGGACAGAACCAAACACATTCATTAAATATTTTAAAACACAGGGCACCTAGCTGGCTCTGTTGGTGGAGCATGTAACTCTTGATCTTGGAATTCTTTAATTATTGAGCCCCATTTTGGGTGTAGAGATTACTTAAAAACAAAATCTTAAAAAAATAAGGCAGGGGGGCGCTTGGGTGGTTCAGTCAGTTGAGCAGCTGACTCTTGGTATCAGCTTAGGTCATGATCTCATAGTAATGGGATCAAGCTGTCTCAGGCTGTATGCTCAGAGCAGTCTGCTTTAGATTCTCTTTCCCTCTCCCTCCAGCTCATGTGCTCTCTCCCCTACCCTTTCTCAAATAAATAAATAAAACCTAAATAAATAATTAAAGGGGGCCGCACCTGGCTGACTCGGTAGGGTATGCGACTTTCCTTTGAGAGAGAGAGAATGTATGTGTGTATACTCGAGCATATGCAAGTGTGGAGGTGGGGGCAGGGGGAGTAGAGGGAGAGAGAGAATTTTAGGCAGGCTCCACACCCAGCAGTGGAGCTCAATCGCACCACCCTGAGAATATGACCTGAACTGAAATCATGAGTCAGGGACACTTAGGTGGTTCAGCAGTTTAGCGCCTGCCTTTGGCCCAGGGTGTGATCCTGGAGTCCCGGGATCGAGTCCCACAACGGGCTCCCTGTGTGGAGCCTGCCTTCTCCCTCTGCCTGTGTCTCTGCCTCTCTGTGTGTGTGTCTCTCATGAATAAATAAATAAAAATCTGGGGATCCCTGGGTGGCGCAGCGGTTTAGTGCCTGCCTTTGGCCCAGGGCGCGATCCTGGAGACCCGGGATCGAATCCCGCGTCGGGCTCCCGGTGCATGGAGCCTGCTTCTCCCTCTGCCTGTGTCTCTGCCTCTCTCTCTCTCACTGTGTGCCTATCATAAATAAATAAAACAAAAAAAAAAATTAAAAAAAAAAAATAAAAAAAAAAATAAATAAAAATCTTTGAAATCATGAGTCAGATGCTTAGTCGACTAAGCCACCCACAACCCCCAACCATGTTACTTTTGATCTCGGGATTATAAGTCTGAGCCCTACCTTGGGAGTAGACATTACTTAATATAAGCTCTTAAAAAAAAAATCTTTTTTCAGGGCAGCCCCGGTGGCACAGCGGTTTAGCGCCACCTGCAGCCGGCGTGTGATCCTGGAGACCGGGGATCGGGTCCCATGTCGGGCTTCCTGCATGGAGCCTGCTTCTCCCTCTGCCTGTGTCTCTGCCTCTGTGTCTCTCATGAATAAATAAATAAATAAACTGTTTTAAAAATAAACAAACAACAGATCTAAAGAAATTAGGTAAAATGTTAAGATTTAACAAGCTGGGTAGTATTCTACTTGTACTTTTCTATATGCTTAATATATTTTAATTTTTCTTTTGATTTAAGTATTCTGTGCTTAATTTAGAAAATACAGGAATCCCTGGGTGGCTCAGCAGTTTAGTGCCTGCCTTCGGCCCAGGGCGTGATCCTGGAGTCCCAGGATCGAGTCCTGCATCAGGCTCCCTGCATGGAGCCTGCTTCTTCCTCTGCCTGTGTCTTTGCCTCTCTCGCTCTCTCTCTTTCATGAATAAATAAATAAGATCTTTAATAACAAATTTAGAGGGCAGCCCGGGTGGCTCAGCGGTTTAGCGCCGCCTTCAGCCCAGGGCATGATCCTGAAGACCTGGGATCGAGTCCCACGTCGGGCTCCCTGCATGGAGCCTGCTTCTTCCTCTGCCTGTGTCTGCCTCTCTCTCTCTCTCTCTCTGTGTGTGTGTCTTCCATGAATAAATAAAATCTTTAAAAAATAATAAAAAATAAAAATAAATAAATAAAAAATTTAGAAAATGCAGTTTGGGGATCCCTGGGTGGCGCAGTGGTTTGGCGCCTGCCTTTGGCTCAGGGCGCGATCCTGGAGACCCGGGATCGAATCCCACATCGGGCTCCCGGTGCATGGAGCCTGCTTCTCCCTCTGCCTATGTCTCTGCCTCTCTCTCTCTCTCTCTGTGACTATCATAAATAAATTTTAAAAAAAATTAAAAAAAAAAAAAAAGAAAGAAAATGCAGTTTGTGGTGTGCCTGGGTGGCTAAGTAGGTTAATTAAGCATCTCCCTTCAGCTCGGGTCATGATCCCAAGGTCCTGGGATCCAGCCCCGCATTGGGGGGCTCCCTGCTTATCGGGTAGTTGGCTCCTCCCTCTGCCTCTTCTCCTCTCCTCCACCTTGGCTCATGCTCTCTGTGAAATAAATAAAATCTTAAATAATAATAATAAAAAGAAAAAAAAAGAAAATGCAGTTTAGAAGCATCAAAATCAATCAGAAAAGTAGACTTCCTTCCATTCTTTTTAAAATTTTTCATTTTTTCCCCTTTTAATATGAATTCTACAGGGGCATCCAGGTGGCTCAGTCAGTTGAGCATTTAACTCTTGATTTTGGCTGGGGTCGTGATATAAGGGTCCTGGGATAGACCCTTGTGCCTGGCTCTGCCCTTAGCAGGGAGTCTGCTTGAGATTTACTCTTCCCGTCTGCCCCTCCCCACAGGGTGCATGCACACAAATGTGCTCTCTCTAAAATAAATAAAATATTTTAAAATAATAAATAAAATGCATTCTACATGTGTTCATTCTAAGTTATAGAACTTTATATATAAAAAAAAGCATGATAAAAAAATTTAAAAAAACATGATAAACTCTATTCCTCTTACCTTCATTGCATCAACATGAATTTCACTCAGTTGTTGGATACAAGCTTGGAGCTTCTTTCTGTCACCCAAGGTACTAAAATTATAATAGGATAAGCAAATCTATCATTATTTGCTTAATAATAATCCCTAGAGTATATAATAGTATATAATCAACTCTAAATTATCTACACTAACATAATAGGAAGTCAGATTAAAAGGAAAAATTAGGGGATCCCTGGGTGGCGCAGCGGTTTGGCGCCTGCCTTTGGCCCAGGGCGCGATCCTGGAGACCCGGGATCGAATCCCACGTCAGGCTCCCGGTGTATGGAGCCTGCTTCTCCCTCTTCCTATGTCTCTGCCTCTCTCTCTCTCTCTCTCTCTCTCTCTCTCTCTCTCTCTCTCTCTGTGAGTATCATAAATAAATAAAAATTAAAAAAAATAAAAGGAAAAATTAGGGGCAGCCTGGGTGGCTCGGCGGTATGGGTGCCTGCCTTCGGCCCAGGGCGTGATCCTGGAGTCCTGGGATAGAGTCCCATGTCGGGCTCCCTGCATGGAGCCTGCTTCTCCCTCTGCCTCTGTCTCTGCCACTCTCTCTCTCTCTATCATGAATGAATAAATAAAATCTTTTAAATAAATAAATAAATATAGATAGATATAGATAGAAAGAAAGAAAAATTATTAATTCAAACACATACCCCTGCTAAGAACTCTTCCCCAGGCTTCTACCCTTGGTCCTCTTCCCGTGGTAACTCAGACTTCAACATCTCCTATGTCTCTACTGAATGCTCAAATTTTTTTAAAAAAGATTTTATTTATTTATTCATGAGAGACACACAGAGAGAGAGGCAGAGACACAGGCAGAGGAAGAAGCAGGCTCCATTCAGGGAGCCCAATGCGGGACTCGATCCTGGAACTCCAGGATTCCCCTGAATGCTCAACTGATACTTAAGTTTTTTTTGGGGGGGGTGGGGGGGGGATCCCTGGGTGGCTCAGCGGTTTAGCGCCTGCCTTTGGCCCAGGGCGCAATCCTGGAGTCCCAGGATCGAGTCCTGCGTCAGGCTCCTGGCATGGAGCCTGCTTCTCCCTCCTCCTGTGTCTCTGCCTCTCTCTCTCTCTCTCTCTCTCTCTCTCTCTCCATGTCTATCATAAATAATAAATAAATAAATATTTTAAAAAAAGATTTTTTTTAACTTACTACATTTAAACTCAATCAGTTAACATATAGTGTATCATTAGCTTCAGATGTAGAGTTCAGTTACTCATCCACAGCATATAACACCCAGTGCTTACTACATTACATGCCCTCCTTAACAAATGTACGTTAACCTAACTGAAGTTGACATCTTCCCTCACAACCCTGAATTTGCATGACTCAAGGTAGCACTCTGAAGTAGAGCACAGTAAGAATAAGAAAGGACTTTGAAATCAGAACTGGGGGCGCCTGGGTGGCTCAGTCCATTGAGTGTCTGCTTTTGTCTTGCCTCGTGATCTCAGGGTCCTGGGATCGAGCTCTGCATCCAGCTCCCTGATCAGTGGTGGGTCTGCTTCTTCCTCTAACTCTGTGATTCCTCTAACCCACTCTCCCTCAAATAAATAAATAAAAATCTTAAAAAAAAAAAAAAAGAAATCAGAACTGGTTCGGGACACCTGGATGGCTTGGCGGTTGAGTGTCTGCCTTTGTCTCAGGGCATGATCCCAGGGTCCAGGATCAAGTCCTGCATTAGGCTCCCTGCATGAGGCCTGCTTCTCCCTCTGCCTATGTCTCTGCCTTTCTCTGTGTCTCTCATGAATAAATAAATAAAGTAGTCATAGGTCATTGTTAGACTACAGTAAGATTTTATTTCTGTATTTCATCATTTCTGAAATCTAAAATTTCTCACAACTGATATGTACATTTAATGTACCAATGTTTCTTACTTCTTAGAAAACTCTTTTAAATCAACAGTTGAGTATAAACTTGAGAAAATTTAAGTACTTTGTCTAAATTGCATTTCCCCTAGAAAGCAGAATCTAGGACAAGAGATTACATACAGGTCATTTATTTTAGGATATAAATCCTAGGAAAGGTAAAACAGGAAAGGAGAGGAAAACAGCACAAGGCTATATTAATAACTTGGTTACATTTGTACTACTGTTAACAACTTTGATCTCAATGGGATCTCCAAAGGCAGCTCCAGTCAGAATTTTGCGATAATGGAAATGTTCTATATCTGCCCTATCCAACATGGTAGCCACTAGCCATAAGTGGAATATGGCTAAGTGAGGAATGGAAACTTTAATTTTAATTAATTTAAACATGTAGCTAGTGGCTTCTGTATAAGAAAACACAGCCTTGAAAAGTCCTGCAGAATCCACCTCAGAGTTATAAGATGGGTACAAGGTATGCCACATAATGTTCGTATGAAATTCTATTTTGTTCACTCATGTCTCCCAAGTTCCTAGAAAAATTTCTCACACACAGTGGGCCCTCCATAATTATTTGTTGAATAAATCAGTAGTATTTGAGTCCACAAAGTAAATGGTTCTCTTTGAAAGCAAGCTCTACTGGAACAAATTCAATTAAAATAGTAAGCAACTATTAAACCTAAGAAATAAGGAGGGGAATTTTGAGGGGACTAAGAGGGCTGAAATGTGATTATGAAAGAGGCAAGGTAAGGTCTTGAAGATTCTGATCTAAAGGACATTTATTAAAACTCAAGTAAATGTCTTAAAGGTGATTTTTTTTCTCACAATTTGCTTCTATTATCTACTAAACAATAGTACATGAAGTACTAATCCTTTGTTTTGATACTTTGGTTACTGTTACCACAAAAACATTTAGCTAAGTGGACTTCCAGAAGGAAAAAAACTTATTTCACCACTGTTGCCAATTCTCTAAAAAAAACACAAACCAAAAAAAAAAGGGGGGGGGATCCCTGGGTGGCTCAGCAGTTTAGCGCCTGCCTTCGGCCCAGGGCATGATCCTGGAGTCCCGGGATCAAGTCCCACATCAGGCTCCTGCATGGAGCCTGCATCTCCCTCTGCCTGTGTCTCTGCCTCTCTCTCCCTCTCTCTCTCTGTCTCTCATGAATAAATAAATAAAATCTTAAAAAAAAAAAAAAACCACCCCCCCCCAAAAAAATACAAACTCTTCATTTTAAGGAATATTTAAATATTTGCACCTCAATCGTGATCTTTAAAGTGGATCCACACTAACCTAGACCTTACAACCTCCAGCCTTATATAGGAATTTCTAACTTTATTAAGGGCCAATGTGCTAATCACTTCATGTACATTGTCTCATTATTATTTTCCATTTGACAGATGCAGAAACTGAAGGGTTAAATTACTCGTCTCAAATCATACAATCAAAAAAGGACCAAAATACTTTGGATCGTGTCTTTAAAAAAAAACCTAATACCAGATATGCATTTCAGTCTTGAGATGACTTTAGGAAGATCTAGAAATATGTACAAAATAAGGAGGTAGCCTTGATTTTTCCTGCCAACATTTCTCTAACAGTTCTTATATATTTTTTGATGTGTATAATCCAATTATTCTGAACCTGAGAGTAAAAACTTGGCCACCTCAAACTTCATGAAGGCTTGTCAGCAAAATTTTTTAAAAGAGGAATCATTAGCAATATTAAACACAGTATTTGCATGGCAAAAACAAAAACAACTGTGTTAACCAGCAAGTAGGGGATTCTGTTTTTAAGGACTTTTGCAGATTTAAAATGAAGACAGTTAATATCAGTGATCATGGGCTTTGTCCCTCTGAAGTGAATAACAAGGTCAGAACTATGCTTGGATACAAGGTGCATTTCATCATTCTTACCTTATTCCAAGTCTTTCAAGATCAGCCTCATTAAGGTGGAGCAATGTTAGACCTGTGATTTTATTTTCTTTGGAAGAAAAGGGAGGGAAAAAAAAGATAAAATGGTTTCAATATTTACAGCATATGCTTTTTTTGTTTCTTTCAATTTGGATTCGCCAGAATTTACTCAGCTCAACATTTACTAACCACCTACACCAGGCATTGAGTACCTAAGTAGCACTTTTTCATTTGTCACTTAGAAAGTCCTTTTTTGGGCAGCCCTGGTGGCACAGCGGTTTAGCGCCGCCTGCAGCCTGGGGTATGATCCTGGAGACCTGGGATCGAGTCCCACATCAGGCTTCTTGCATGGAGCCTGCTTCTTCCTCTGCCTGTGTCTCTGCCTCTCTCTCTCTCTCTCTCTCTCTCTCTCTCTCTGAATAAATAAATAAATCTTCCCCAGGTTCAAAAGCCACATACTCTACAGACTGAGCCAGCCAGGCACCCCTGCCACTTGGAAAGTCTTAATTTTAATTAGATAACTATACTCACAGGCTTTTTTTTGATAAATCAAGTGAAAAAAAATTTTAAGATTTGAGAGAGTGCAAATAAGTGTGCAGTGGGGAGGGGCAGAAAGAGAGTCAAGCTGACTCCATGCTCAGCACAGAGCCTGACATAGGGCTCAATGATGCCACAACCCTGAGATCAAGACCTGAGCTAAAGCTGAGAGCTGCTTAAAGGACTGCGCTACCCAGGTGACCCTCAAGTGAAATTTAAAAAATTATTTGATTAGGGGCAACTTGGTGGCTCAATCAGTTAAGCATCTACTTTCAGCTGGGGGGATCAAGCCCCACTATGGGATTCCTGCTCAGCAAGGAGCCTGCTTCTCCCTCTCCCTCTGCCTGCCATTCCTCCTGCTTGTGCTCGCGCGCTCTCTGTCAAATAAATAGAATCCTTAAAAAATTTTAATAAAATAGGAGTAAATTATTTGCGAGGCAGTCCAAGCTGCAAAATCAACAACTTCCTTCTAAAACAGGTGAGGTTTGTCTCTGCCTCTCTCTCTCTCTCTGTAACTATCATAAAACAAATAAAAATTAAAAAAAAAAAAAGATTAAAACAGGTGAGGTTTGAGGTGGGGGGGGGGGCGGGAGAAAGAAGTATAAATCTATTGTTCTTAGAACAGTCAAGTCAAAGCCATAGCCTGGGGGCACCTGGGTGGTTCAGCAGGTTGAGCTTCAGACTCTTGATCTTGGCTCAGGTCTTGATCTCATAGTCCTGAGTTCGAGCCCAGTGATGGGCTATGTGCTGGGCCAGTAGCCTACTTAAAACTCACAGAAAAACAAAAAAAGCACAATTTCAAGTTCAGTAAATTTCATTTTGTACTTTTACTTTAGTGATAACCTAGTTTTCTGAAAATACTCTCAATGAACTCTAAGACATACCTGAAGTGCCTGGCTGACTCAGTAAAACATACGACTCTTTTTTTTTTTTTTCTTAAAGATTTATTTATTCATGAGTGACATAGAGACAGAGAGAGGCAGAGACACAGGCAAAGGGAGAAGCAGGTCCACGCAGGGAGCCCGACGTGGGACTCAATCCTGGAACTCCAGGATCAGGCCCTGGGCTGAAGGCAGCACTAAACCACTGAGCCATCCAGGCTTCCCTCAGCTCGGGTTTTGATCTTGGGGTTGTGAATTCAAGATCATGTTGGGTGGGTTCCATGATGGAAATGGAGCCTACTTAAAACAAAAAAATTTTTTTAATTTTTAAACTTAAAAAATAATAAAATAAAATAAAAAAATAAAAAATACTAGTACACTTGACATATTTTTAATAGATACTGAGTTATGCTATTAAATTTTAGACAAATGGAATTATATTGTTTATAATTTATTTTTCACACCCAAGATATCACTTTTGTCAATTTTATTAAACTACATCAATTTTTTAAATTTATTTTTAATTTTTTAAAAGATTTTATTTATTTACTCATGAGAGACACAGGCAGAGGGATAAGCAGGCTCCATGCAGGAGCCAAACTCGATCCCAGGTTTCCAGAATCACGCCCTGCGCTGAAGGCAGCACTAAACCACTGAGCCACCCACGCTGCCCAAACTACATCATTTTTTTTTTTTTATTTATTTATGATAGTCACACAGAGAGAGAGAGAGAGAGAGGCAGAGACACAGGCAGAGGGAGAAGCAGGCTCCATGCACCGGGAGCCCGACGTGGGATTCGATCCGGGGTCTCCAGGATCGCGCCCTGGGCCAAAGACAGGCGCCAAACCGCTGCGCCACCCAGGGATCCCCAAACTACATCATTTTTAATGGCTGTCTTACATTCCACAATATAGATGCACCGTAGTATATTTAACCAATTAAAAAAAAAAGATTTTATTTATTTATCTGACAGAAAGAGCAGGAGAGTGAGAAGCAGTCTCCTCACTGAGCAGGGAGCCCCACGTGGGATCATGACTTAAGCCAAAGGCACATGCTTATCTGACTGAGCCACCCAGCAACCCTATTTAATTAATTTTTTCTGATCCTTAAGCTAAGAAATTATATCCAAATAAGTATGCCTTAACATGAGTATACTAAACCGATGTGATAATTATGAAATTTTACAAGACAAAGTATGAGAAGTGCAGAGAATAGTACTTCACACAAAGTAAATGCTAATATTAGCTCTCACTGTTAGGTGCAACTATTATCAATGGATAGATTATTTCTACACTTTCTTGCTATTTATAACCAATGGTTGAAAGATTGATCTTGAACATGTTTCTTTGGACACCTGTACAATTCTATCTGTAAATTCTTACAAATGAAATTTCCTAAGTAAAAAAGCATTAACAAACTGTTCATGGTTGAGCCAATAAACACTTCCATCAACTTTACTGGATCAGCCATTTCTCCTATTGTCGATCTTTAAATATTTTCCTATCTAAATAAAAATCTGATTATTTAAAAAATTACTGCAGAGATTGAATGTCTTTTTCTATGTTTGCTGGCTGGTTGTCAATAATCTATTCTTGTGTTCTGCTCATTGTTCTACTTTTTCTCCCTGCTCTTTATTAGTTTTATAACTTTGGTTATATTCTCCAATGATTTTTTTAAAATTGGTTTGTTTGGGCAGCCCGGGTGGCTCAGCGGTTTAGTGCCACCTTCAGCTCAGGGCATGATCCTGGAGACTGGGAATCGAGTCCCATGTCTGGTTCCCTGCATGAAGCCTGCTTCTCCCTCTGCCTGTGTCTCTCATGAATAAATAAAATCTTTAAAAAAAAATCTGTAAAATATATATATTATTATATAAAATATTAAAATATTATATGTATAATAAATTATATTATTATAATTATTATGAATTACAGCCTCCAAATTTCAGGGTTCTTGTGAGATTGTGTTCCATAATGAGGAAAGGGCTCCAACACCTTATACTTCGTTTTGTCAAATAAAAACAAATCCAGACTAAGATAAGGATTAGAAAGACTATTTCAATAGGGAGAATGTTGTGATCTCAGAAATCTCCAAAATCAAACAAAAAGGTGTAGTTGTTTTTCATAAGGTAAAAGAAGGGTAAGCAGACTCTTTAGGAGGGAAGTGACCCCACTATGGTCTGACAGGACAGTATCCTGCTATGCTCAGCCAGTTCCAAGAAAAGCTGATCATGGAGCATTCCACTTTTTAGTTCTTGCTCCAGTTTAGGGCCCTCTAGGAGAGAGAAGCCTGACTAAAGTTTAGTCAAGACCAAACAAACAGGGACGCCTGGATGGCTCAGCGGTTGAGTGGCTGCCTTCAGCTCAGGGCATGATCCTGGGTCCGGAGATCGAGTCCCACATCAGGCTCCCTGTGAGAAGCCTGCTTCTCCCTCTATCTATGACTCTGCCTCTGTGTCTCTCATGAATAAATAAATAAAATCTTAAAAAAAAAAGACCAAACAGTTAAGAAATGAGCAGTTGTAGGGGTATCTGGCTGTCTCAGCCAGTGGAAAATGGGACTTTTGAGCCCCCTGCTGGTGCACAGATGACTTAAAAATAAAAAATCTTGGGGTACCTAGATGGCACAACCAGTTGAGAGTCCAGCTTTTGATTTCTCTGGTCAAGATAGTGAGATCCAGCCCCAAGTTGGGCTCTAACCTTGATGGGGAGTCTGCATGGGATTCATTCTCTCCCTCTTCCTGTCCCAGCCCTACATGCACTCATGTGCTTTCTCTCTACAAATCAATACATCTTTTAAAAATTAAAATATAAAAATAAAGATCTTTAAGAGAAGAAAGAAATGACCAATTCTAACCACGTGGTCAGTTTTTACCAATTAAAAGCATGTAGTAAGAGGCACCTGGGTGGCTCAGTCGTCTAGTCTAAGCATCTGCCTTCAGCTCAAGTCATGATCCCAGAGTCCTGGAATGGAGCCCCAGGTCTGAGTCCCTGCTCAGCAGAGGAATCCCCTCCCCCCACCCTCCAGCTCATACTCTCTCTTTCCCACTCATGCTCTCATAGATAGATAGATAGATAGATAGATAGATAGATAGATAGAGACAGACAGATAAAAAAAAGTCTGAGCCCCCTGGGTGACTCAGTCAGCTACGCTAAGCATCTACCTTCAGCTCAGGTCAAGATCTCTGGGTCCTGGGAAGGAGTCCCCTATCGGGCTCTGTTCAGAAAGGAGTCAGCTTCTTCCTCTACCCTTTCCCCCTGCTCATGCTCATGCACTCAGGCACACGCGCTCGCGCTGGCGCTCTCTCTCTCTCTCTCTCTCACACACACACACACACACTGTCTCTCATGAATAAATAAATAAAATATTTTTAAAAATAAAATAAAAATAATAAATTATTAAAGAAACTTTTTTTTTTTAAAAAAGAAACTTTTATTTATTTATTCATGAGAGACACACAGAGAGGCAGAGACATAAGCAGGAGGAGGAGAAGCAGGCTTCCTGCGGGGAGTCTGACGTGAGACTCAACCCCAGGGCCCTGGGATCAGATGCTCAACCACTGAACCACCCAGGTGTCCCATTAAATAAAATATTTTTTTTTAAGATTATTTATTTATTTATTCATGAGAGACACACGGGGGGGGGGGGCGGGCAGAGACACAGGCAGAGGGAGAAGCAGGCTCCATGTAGGGAGCCTGACAAGGGACTCGATCCCGGTTCTCCGGGATCACGCCCTGAAGGTGGCGCTAAACCACTGAGCCACCTGGGCTGCCCAAATAAAATCTTTTTATTTATTTTTTTTAATTTTTATTTTTATTTACGATAGTCACACACACACACACAGAGAGAGAGAGAGAGAGAGAGAGAGAGAGAGAGAGGCAGAGACACAGGCAGAGGGAGAAGCAGGCTCCATGCACCGGGAGCCCGACGTGGGACTCGATCCCCCGTCTCCAGGATCGCGCCCTGAGCCTAAGGCAGGCGCCAAACCGCTGCGCCACCCAGGGATCCCCCTTTTTTTTTTTAATTTTTTTTTTTTAATTTACGATAGTCACACACAGAGAGAGAGAGGGGGGGGGGCAGAGACACAGGCAGAGGGAGAAGCAGGCTCCATGCACCGGGAGCAATAAAATCTTTTTAAAAAGCATGTAGTGAGTTCTGCTAGCATGAGACTGTGGGTTCAAGAGAACAGATAACTCTGCAGGATGATGAATTAATCTTTAGAACACCACTGAACAGGGAGCCAACAACACAATCATATTTTGGAGATAGAAAATATAAAACTACTTCATCCCCATCTATTGCTATTCAGAGAAAACTTCCATTCAGCCTGGAGGAAAACCACAGGCGGAGAGAAGAGAGAAGTATGATTTCTGACACCGTCAAGCTAGGTTTTAAGTCCTGAAACAGTTAAAGTTCTTCCCACCCTAGACAAACAGGAGTCCACCCCATAATTGCAAAAAAAGTTTACTATATTTGTAAATGGCACTACCTTCCTCTAGAACACTTCAGAGGATAAGACAGAGAGAGGGTAAGCTTTACACCCATTAGGGGAAGTTGAGAAGATTTCACGCGGATGGATGCTTGAACTCGAGCCAGTTGCTTACAACTCACGACCCGCACATCTCCCCCAGTGATGTGGCCAAGTTGTGGACTGCTGGGGGTTCAGTGGTCAGGTGAACAATCTGGGTTCAGATTTAGCTAAGGAAACTGATTTTGGAAAGCAAAACATAATCATTACCAAGCTCTACAAATGCAGTCAACAAACACATTGAGCTCTACTGGGCTGCAATGGGGATTCAGGGGGCGACAAAACATGTTCCTCCTCCCTTAGGAAAACCCCGAGTGGAGCGATGATGGGGGGGGGGTGATAACAGAAACTTAAAAGCAGAAACACAAGGGTGCAAGCAGCTGCAGTAGTAGCACAGAGGGGTTTCCGAGCCCAGTGCGCCTGAATGACAGGTCTGGGAGAAATGTTCTTCTAACTTAAAAAAAAAAAAAAAAAAAAAAAAGGAACCGGGTCTCACCAGTCCGGCGCTGCTGTGGGAAGTTCCAGAAGAAACCCACCAGCGTCAGCCCAAGGGCCCCGCCCAGGCTCACAGTCCCCATGTCCCCCATCCCCAGACGCCTCGTTCCTCCTCTCTCCATCCCCGCTCACCCCGGCGCGCCCCTTCTGGCACCGCCGCGTGCCTCATCTCCCCTCCCCGCCCGCGGGGCAGGTCACTCCGCCCGCGGCGCCCCCCGCCTCAGGTCCACCCCTGCTGGTGCCTCCCGGCGCAAGTCGCCCCTCCCCGCCTCAGGGCCCCGGCTCGGGAGCGCTCTCCGCCTCCGGTCCGGACCTTTGGTACCTCCCCGAGCAGGTCTTCTTCCCCGCTCCGGGTCCTCCCGGAGGCCGCCAGGTCACTGCCCCGGGCGCCCTGTCCTCAGGCCCGCAGTCCCCGCCTCGGGGGCCGTCTCCCGGCCCCTCAGCCCTGTCGCCCTGCTACCTCGGAAGCGTTCCAGTAGTCGGGGATCAGCGAAGCCGCTGCGCTTTAGGAAGCAGCACACCTGCTCCGGGCCCCAGCTCTGGTGGTCGGGGCGGAGTTCGGGGCCCGAGGACCGCCCCGCCGCCGCGGAACGGGTGTTTGGCGGGGTTCTTGGACTGCCATCGCATCGGGGCCGCTTGAAGGGCTGGTCCGAGTCAGCTCCCTGCATGGCTACAACCAGCGCCCGGCGCAGCACAGTCAAGAACCGCGGCGCTTGGACCGCGCGCAGGCGCACTGACTGTCGGTCGCCAAGGACGAGTCCGCTCCGCGCCGCCTGCCTACTGGCCTCCCGCGCAGGCGCACTGACGGCTCAGACCTTGGGGCCGGCCGCCCAGCCACTTCAGCCACCGCGACCCCGTGCGCAGGCGCAATGACAGCCCAATGGCCCTCCACCGGCCCGAGAGTCTACTGGGAGCGAGCGAGTAGAGGCCGAGAGCGAGAGAGACTAGGCCGTGCTGATAAGCGCGACGTGGCGAGACTGTACCTAGGACCCGTAGCAGTCCCGTCACAGTCCCGAGCAGGGGCTCTTCTGGTGAATTGAGAGTGCTTTCCACCAAATGAGCATCCTGGACATACCTTTGACTGTGTTTTAGATGCCCCAAACTTTTTTTTTTTTTAAGGTTTTATTTATTCATGAGAGAGACACAGAGAGGAAGAGGCATAGGCAGAGGGAGAGGCAGGCTCCATGCCAGCACCCCGGGATCAGGACAGGAGATCAAGGCAGACACTCAACCACTGAGCCACCCAGGTGCTCCGTAGATGCCCCCCAAACTTAGAAGAAACCTAAAAGGCCATCAGGCTGCCAGCAGCTTCCCAATTATAGAAAAATGGGAAAGAAGCTGATCTGGAAGACCCTGGAATGATGTCAAATCTGATATGAAGGTAATCTTGCATTTCTCAAGTTCTACAGTACTGCCAGGCAGTTAGAGGGCCCTGCGGATGCCTGTCCATGAACTGTTATCTTTATTTTTTTTTTTAAATTTTTATTTATTTATGATAGTCGCACAGAGAGAGAGAGAGAGAGGCAGAGACACAGGCAGAGGGAGAAGCAGGCTCCATGCACCGGGAGCCCGACGTGGGATTCGATCCCGGGTCTCCAGGATCGCGCCCTGGGCCAAAGGCAGGCGCCAAACCGCTGCGCCACCCAGGGATCCCGAACTGTTATCTTTAGAAGCACACTTCGGGCAGCCCGGGTGACTCGGCGGTTTGGCGCCGCCTGCAGCCCAGGGTGTGATGCTGGAGACCAGAGATCGAGTCCCATGTCAGGCTCCCTGCATGGAGCCTGCTTCTCCCTCTGCCTGTGTCTCTACCTCTCTCTCTGCGTCCCATGAATAAATAAATAAAAATCTTAAAAAAAAAAAAATAAGTACACTTCAAACGTCTCTCAAAAAGAACCCTCAATCCCCCCCCCCCTCCATCCTAACTCTTTACACAGAGGAAAGGAAGCAGCCAATCTGATTACTGTTAAACAAAATTCACCTGGGTAGATTTAAAGATCTAATTGGCTTTATTCAATGATTCACGAATAGGGCAGCATCCTATCTACTGAAGAGAAAGGAGCTGTACAAAATGGAAGGCTTTTAAAAGCAGGAGGTAAGACAAGAAAGTCATAGCAAGGGATCCCTGGGTGGCGCAGCGGTTTAGCGCCTGCCTTTGGCCCAGGGCGATCCTGGAGACCCGGGATCGAATCCCACGTCGGGCTCCTGGTGCATGGAGCCTGCTTCTCCATCTGCCTGTGTCTCTGCCTCTCTCTTTCTCTGTGTGTGTGACTATCATTAATTAATTAATTAAAAAAAAAAAAAAAAAAGAAAGTCATAGCAAAAGAAAGGATTATCTTAGGCATCCCCCAACTTTGAAAGACAGGGGTCACCAGGCTTCTGGCTTGCCAGTGTAGGCCAGGATAATCCAGACTGAGTGGTTAAAGGTCACGGTCCTGGGAAAGGCTGAAATTGCGGTTAGATTAGATATTAAAGTATTGGTTTGCTGATGTGGAGCTTAGCAGGTGACTTCATTTGTGGCCTGTTTTTTTTTTTCAACATTACTTAAAAACTTATCCTCAAGGACTTTTACCGCCTGGTGGTAACAGCCTATAAAAATGGGAGGTATAGGGGCAGCCCCAGTGGCCCAGCGGTTTAGCGCCGCCTTCAGCCCAGGGCCTGATCCTGAGACCCAGGATCAAGTCCCATGTCAGGCTCCCTACATGGAGCCTGCTTCTCCCTCTGCCTCTCTCTCTCTTTCTGTCTCTGTGTGTTTGTGTGTGTGTTTCTCATGAATAAATAATTTTTTTAAAAAATCTTTAAAAATGGGAGGCATGTCCCCCATCATGTTAATCACTCAGAAGCAGAAACAAATTTCCCTATAGATATTAGTGTGTGGGGCAGCCCAGGTGGCTCAGCGGTTTAGCGCCACCTTCAGCCCAGGGAGTGATCCTGGAGACCCGGGATCGAGTCCCACGTTGGGCTCCCTGTGTGGAGCCTCCTTCTCCCTCTACCTGTGTCTCTGCCTCCCTCTCTCTCTCTGTGTGTGTCTCTCATGAATAAATAAATAAAATCTTAAAAAAAAAAGATATTAGTGTGTGCGATTAACTGGTAATAGGACTACTGCTACCACCACTACAGCCAATACACTGTCCCATCAACTCAGCCATAGATCCATCTAGGGATAAAGGATGAGTAAGACAGGGGCACCTAGCTGGCTCAGTTAGTAGAGGAAGGGACATTTGATCCTGGAGATATCATGAGTTTGAGGCCCACATTGGGTATAGAGATTACTTAAAAAAGCAAAACAAAATAATAAGTAATTGAAAAAAAGGATGAATAAGGCAGATTATCATTGTGCATATGAACATTACTGATCTTGTGGAGAGCAAAATATCCTTTTTTTTCTTTCTTAAGCAATCTCTCCACCCAATGTGGTGTTCAAACTTAAAACCCCGAGATCAAGAGTTGCATGCTCTACTAGCTAAGCCAGCTGGGTCCTCCATAAAATATTCTTAGCATACACTTAGAGCTTTACTCTGATGCCAGGCACTGTTCTAAGGGTTTTACAAATATTAATTAATGTATCACAATAACCCTAGGATATAAGGAACTGAGATACAAAGAAATAAGTAAATCATTTTCTCCTGGTCACACAGCTAGTAAATGATGAAGCCTAGATTCAAACCCAGACAATCTTGGGGTGCCTGGGTGGCTCAGTCAGTAAGGTGTCTTCTTTCAGCTTAGGTCATGGTATTGGGATCCTGGGATCGAGCGCCTTTTTGGGCTCCCTGATCAGCAGGGAGACTGCTTCTCTTTCTTCCTCTGCCCTTCCCTGGCTCCTTCTCTCTCTCTCAAATAAATAAATAAAATCTTAAAAAACAGACAAACAAAAACACAATGATCTAGCATGGCTTCAAAGTCCATGCTCCTAATCACTTTCTAACTATTGCTTGTTATGGAAATTTTGATATAAAATTATTTTATATTAGTTTACTAAAATTTTTCTATTGCTCCCTTGTCCCATAGACCCACTTGCCTTTCATCTGCACAGAAGGGCCAGGTTCAGCAAAACATGCCCTTAAGCTTCAGAATAATTTGAGAAAAGAACAGAGTTGCCAAGACTCAGGAAACCCAAACAAAGGGGTAAAAGAGACAATCAATAGCATATGAATGAAAGTTTATTTCAGTTTGGAAATAGTTGGCTTGGGGATCCCTGGGTGGTGCAGCGGTTTGGCGCCTGCCTTTCGCCCAGGGCGCGATCCTGGAGACCCAGGATCAAGTCCCACATCGGGCTCCCGGTGCATGGAGCCTGCTTCTCCCTCTGCCTATGTCTCTGCCTCTCTCTCTGTGTGTGTAACTATCATAAATAAATAAAAATTAAAAAAAAAAAAGGAAATAGTTGGCTTGAAAACATATTTTTTTTTTCAGTATTGTGGGAAAAGCTGCCCTGGCTGCAAGATTTCTTTGGCAGTAGGTGATAAAAGCAAGGTTTTAAATTTAATCAGATTGGTTTGTTCAAAGCAGTTGCTTTTGAGAACTTTAATTTTCTTTTTTTTTTTTTTGAGAACTTTAATTTTCTATTTGTTTGTGTTAAAGAGTGTCACTTAATGCCATATTTATTATTTTCCTCCTAACCCCCTACTTTCTAGGGGCCCTAGATCTTGCACAAGGTGGTTGGTTACTTGCTCAAGGTTACATGGCTGGTAAGTGACAGAACGGAGATTCAAAGCTGACTCCACCACTTCCAGCTTTCCAGTTTGCCAGTTCAGTTAACTCCACTTATAGTCCTGGTGATCTTGCTCCATTTCGTCTTTCCACAACATTGGAAGAGTTATCTACTTAACTTTGGCCCTGTGCTCTGGTCATGTTGAGGGAAATGACTGCTCAGCCTCTCCTTTGATGTCAAACTTGATATCGTTCAGACTAGAAAAAAAAAAAAAGACTAATTTCAATTACTTTAAAGCCCATTGCTTAATAATCTTGAATATACCCAGCAATTTTTTTTTTTTTTTTTTTTTTTTTTTTACCTACCCTTATCTAGCTACCCTTTCACCCACCCAGCTGAGCTCGGCAATTTTATTTCCATCAGCACTAACCTTGTGGTTTTATATCTCTCCACAGCTTCCTCTTCAACCAGGGCTGCTGGTTCTCAATGCCAGCTGTCATCACTCTCTTTCACTTCCCCTTCACCCTTCACTGAACCTAGCCTCCTCAAGACATTCTTTTCTCTTTTTTTTTTAACATCTGCCCCAAGTTCCAAAGCCAAGCCAAAAAAATTTTTTTTAAGATTTTATTTCTCAGTGGGGATCCCTGGGTGGCTCAGCGGTGCCTGCCTTCGGTCCAGGGTGTGATCGTGGAGTCCCGGGGTCGAGTCCTGAATCAGGCTCCCTGCGTGGAGCCTGCTTCTCCCTCTGCCTGTGTCTCTGCCTCTCTCTCTCTCAGTCTGTGTCTCTCATGAATAAATAAATAAAATATTTTAAAAAAATTTATTTCTCTGTAAGCATGCTGTGGGGCTTGAACTCACAACCCCGAGATCAAGAGTCATACACTCTACTGACTGAGCCAGCCAGCCAAGCTCCTCCAAGCCAAAATTCTTAAAAACAACAACTACAATAATAATTGATTTTCTCATCTGATAAAAATGATGCTCAAGGAGGAAAACTTAGAGGCAAAATGTGTATATATGCACCTACAGATACTAAGATCACTAGTGGGTGCTCTGTAAGTCTTTTTCTGTT